TCCGTGCTGCCAAGAATATCTCTTTCTCAGACCGAAGTTGCTGAGGTCCCAGACCTTAATTGTGGAATCCTTGGAAGCGGATATAAGCTTCTTGTCGTCGTTGAAGAAAACAACCCCAGTTGCGTCCTGTTGATGCCCATGCATCTCACAGAGTGCCTTAGAACCGGGCTTTCTCGTGTCCCATACACGAACTTCACCACCTTCACCATTGAAGCCCTTGGAGGCTGTCGCAACTAGAGTACCGTCCATGGACGTGTCTATTGCCAACGGAAAAAATGTATAGTTTCCAAACATCTGCGCTGCGCCTGCGCGCATATTTCGCACATCCCATATGCGTAGCTGCAAGTCCTCACCTCCCTGCGCAAAGGCTGAGGTACGTGGGAGCCAGCACATGCATGTGACAACATTCCTTGGTATTCTGACGGAGTCCACTTCCATGCCCGTGGCAGTATCCCATGTGCGCACACTATAATCGCGCGAACCTGAACAGACAATCTCCCCATGATCATCAACTACAACCGCTGTCACATTTAGCTCGTGTCCTCGAAAGACATGAACAGGAGAGCTCATGGTTCCAGTCAAGTCCCATTGCGCGACCGTGAGATCCCTGGAGCAACTGTAGATCACGGGGTCGTTACGCAATCGTGCTGCAGTGACACAATTCGCTGATGAATCGTGCTTCCCGAGGCGCGCAAGTTTCGATTCAATTGCGTCGTATACTAACACTCCGCCGTCCGATCCGCTTATAGCGAACTTATCCTCGGCAAGACACCACGACCCAAGCACCGCTGAGCAGTGGTGCGGTGGCAGCGCAATGGGCTCATCACGCAACGCCGGGGCATGCTGACTTAGGGGGCGCAGTGCACGTGCCTCGTGTTTAGAACAGCCAATTCCCATACAAGAACTACTTAGCAGTCCATCTCCCTATCAGGCGATCATAAATTACAATCTTCCGGAGATACATGAGTATCCTCGAGAGGTATCCTTCGCGTTTTGAGGTGCGTCGGTACGCGATGCGCGACTTCGGGTCGATAGACGGGCTCGGTACGGATCTGCGGAAGGACCCCGCAATACATGAAACGCGCTCTTCAGCGACTTTGAAGGTAGCCTCGCTAGGGACTATTTTAGTGCTGCTGTCGATGGTTTCAATATCGCGCGAAACAGTCTTTGAGTTTCTATCCCTAGCGACGTCGGCGCGGTACACGGGTATGCCAACAATGGAGCCGCTATTTATGCCAGACGCCCCAGAACACCCTTCAATGCCTCCTACGTATTTCCCGACGTATTTCCCGACGACCGCGACGCACAATCCGACGCCGCGCCCTACACCCCGCCCGACCCTGCATCCTGTCCACCACCCGACGCTTGCACCGACCCACAACACCAATTGGGCTAACGCTGGAGCGAACGCCGGCAAGGGGGAGCAACCGATGGTAGCGCTCGACTTTGAAACCTCGAACGCTCAATACCCAACACCTACGTCCATGGCGTACCTCCCGAACTGGCCATACATGATGGAACCTTTCCGTGAAGTGACCCTCACTCCGAAGCACGGCGTCGAATCTGACGCCGAGTACCGCTGGACGGTGATGATCGCTACATCGAAAACAAATGATGCGTTTGGCGACGACGACTTTAGCGAGGTCATTGTGCGAGACCATGCGTCTGCCAATTACTCTTTCACGCCCACCAAAGCAGGAAAATTTTATAATATTAAGCTAGTTGAGCGGTCCTCGGATGTCGGTATAGACGGGCGAGAGACAGCACGTGAGACAAAACGGATTGCGGAGGGCGCTGTCATCTGTAAATATGTGCGACGCGAGCTCCGCAAACTGACTCTGGAGGATCGCACTCTCTATTTTGACGCCCTGCAGAAAATATATTCCCTCGAATTGTGGGAAGGCCAAACGAGCTACGGCGAGAATTTTCGGAATGGGGCATACTTTACCAAGAAGCATCTCGCTGCCATGTCGATTGAAGGTTGCACCCCCTGGCACACGGGCACTGTGTTCCTCACAGCCCACTCAGCCATGACACGTGAGTTTGAAATGGCCCTGCAGTCAATACATCCGTCGTTGGCTGCGCCTTACTGGGAGTACACGCTGGACTCGAAGCTCTACGGCGACGCGTGGACGCGTTTCTCGCCGGTCTTCTCCGACGACTTCTTTGGCGTGTTTCCGGTGGAAGCCCCGTTCACGGTTTCTACTGGAGGTGTCCCTGATGTTCCACTTACGACCGAATCATGGGACTCGCCTGAACACTCACCGTGGGGATACCTCATGGACAATTTTGCGTCAGATGAGACGGCCTACGTGACACGTGCCGCATCCATGTGTGGACTTCCGACCACCGCACCTTTACCGACCTGTGCAAAGCTTCGCCTTATGGCAGATCAGACGTCTTCATCAGCATTTCGCTCGTTCGTTGAAACTTACTACCACGCTGAGATCCACCCTCTCGTTGGCGGAGCTTGGGACTGTAAATTTGGTGAAGCAAAAACGCTTATTGATCAGTTCCCATCTCTCGCGCCTTACGTAGAAGACATCTTAACGGATCTAGGTGTACTCATGCGTTACGCCTACAGTGTACAAAAGAACTTCTCGAACGGTGTACTGATACCAGGCATGGCAGGATGGTCCAAACAGTGGGGCGACGTTCGCTGCCCACAGGACTGTTCGTCACCCCACAGCGGTTCGCAACCCAACGTCACATCTGCCATCGACATTGACGACAATGCGCCAACGAGTCTCGAGGATGATGATTCCTCACGCCGGCGACTGAAAAAGTCGGACGACGACGACGACGATGACGACGACGCTAATGACGTTTTCTTTGATGACTCGCCATCGTCCTCCCATGACCCAGACATCTGCACGTGCACGATAGATCGGGTACGTATACCGCTCGAGGAAGGCAAGGAGATGACTATAGAGTTTGCCTTCCACACTTTGGCGGACATCGAACTTCTCGACAAGCTTGCTGCGGCCACAGGCACGGCGGCGGCTAGCATCACAAACTACGATGACGACTGGCCACGAGAGTATGGGGACACGGTGTCGGGATGGGGAAATTACACGGAATATGAGACCGTTAAGCTCTTCAAAGGTCTTGGTCAACGTGATACCGCAGAGCTTGTGATGTGGTTCGTCAAGCTTATGGCGTACTTTCCTAAAGTCGGTCCTATGACCGCCATTTTGGGGTCACCCGCAGATCCGATATTCTGGGCTGCCCACGAGTCGTGGGAGCGCATGTGGCACTATCTTCGTCTTGTTAATCGCAACTCACCACTTGGTCACAATGCGACCGATTTCTGGTCGACCTGGCGACAGGAATACATGAACAATCCGGGCGTGACGTGCTCGTGGTCTTCCCAAGCGTATTCCATGCTCCCATTTTGGAATCTCATGGATTATGAGACCACGTGGGACATCGAGCGCAATTACTGGGGGTCCTATCATGCCTCTGAGTATCAATATTATACGAATGCCGATCTTAATCGCATGTTCTCTCCGACAAACCCCGAATTGCCCTTTCTCTATGACGAATTCGCGTGGAACCATTGCGATGAGTGGGATTCCAATGGCGCCTCGACCAAGAACACAGCCAATAACGTGACCAAGAACCTGGGCGTCGATGATGACGACAACACCATTCCTACTCGCTCTGAGATGGATGACCGCACCAACGACGATGATGCCGGTCTTGGGAAAAGTTCAGGGCCGCCTGCCCTCGACGACAGCGACGATGACGATGACGACGATGTCGCTACCATTCTCCCCGACGCACTCTCACCCTCGCGCAAGCTCCAGCGGGATCATGCGCATCGCCACGGTATGGGAGGCTTCGTCGGCGAGGTCAACAATAGTACCCTTGGTTTCCGCGAGCACTTCCGCGCGAATCTCCGGAAGTCTCTTTACGAGCACCTTGGCAAGCAGTACCATGAGACAAAGCGCCATGCCGAAAAGCTCCACACGAACATGGATGGTACGGGTCAGCTCGATCAACTCCGCCAATGGCTCTA